AAGTGTGTGTGTGTGTGTGTGTGCACGTGCGTGCGCATCTGTGTTTGTGAACATTTTTAACAATAGGATTGATTTCTCCATTAAAGGGAAAACCAATTCTATTTTCTCTTTCACTTTGCATTAGTTTCAGTAAGTTCTGTGGGGTTTGTTTGTTTTTTTTTTTTTTTTAGCAATATGTCCATTACGTCTCGTTTCAAAGATATTGACGTAAGGTTGTTTATAATAGCTTCATGTTCTCTTGGTTCTGTAAACTCCATAGTCATATCACCTTTTCATCCCAAAAATCAAACACGTGTTCTTATACTTGGTCAGAAGAAGTGGATTTTCTCAGGTCTTGGGGCTTCATGGCTATGGAAATGCTGGTGCAGATGTCTTCCCACTGTGTTGCTACGCCCAGCACCTGTTCTAACCTGCTACCATCACCTTTGACACCAGCTCCAGGTGAAGAAAAGCAGAGGGAGTCTCCCTAAGTCCCATGGCCAGTTGTCAGCCATCCCTCATTTCTGCAACTGTCATTAGGTTGAGTTTTAGGTTGCAATTCTTACTCTTTTACTTTTATTTAAGTATAATATACCTTCATCGAAGTGTACATATCACACAACTCAGGGAGTTCTCAGAAACACATGTGTAATCGGCACATGCATACTAAAAAACGAAACGTTCCTAGAAGTCCTCCTCATGCTGCCTTTTGGTTATACCTGGGAGGGTAACCACCATTCAGACTTCAAAGAGCACAGACTGATTTTGCTTCATAGAAATATCCGTCTTCTTTCATTCCAAGTGATATCCTTGAGAATTTTTCTTCATCGTATGCAGTAGTGGAATCCTCATTCTTGTATCTGTTGGACCCTACTACTGGACCATCATTTATGCTAGTGGACCGTCATTTCTTTATCTATTTCACTAGTGATGGGCATTGGGCTACTTTCCAGATTGGTATGATTACAAACGGTTCTACTGTGAACACTCCTGTGCGTATCTTTTGTGGAACAGATGTGTGCATGTCTCTTGGGTTTATACTTAGGGGAAGTCATATGGTTTGCGTATGCTCCGCAGCAGGGTAAACAACATACTGCCAGAAAGTTTTAAAAGTGATTCTATGAGTTCATTCTTTGCTAGCAATGCAGGAGAGTTACATTTGTTCCGTGTAACCATGCCAACACGTACCATTGGGTGATGTGTGGGTCATGGCATTGCACTGTCATTGTAAATGGGACGTTCCGGCTGTTTAATGAAGGTGGGCATCTTTTCCTACGCTTACTGGCTACTTGGATATCTTCTTCTGTGTTTACTCAAGGCTTTTGCTCATTTTGCTATTGGGTTAATAGTTACTTTTTATCATTCTAAAAATAATGTACATTCACGAGAGACGATGCGGAAAACACGGAAGAGCTCAAAAACAAAATAAAAGAAAATCACCTATGATTCCACTGACCTATAAATAACTAAACATCATGCTACCACATTAGAGCATGTGATATGGTAGTTATAGCTGTGACGTGGTCAGAAGAGGGTACAGTAGTTATGCTTGTATTGGTCAAAGCGACCACATGGTCCCCCATTTTAATTAGGGGCTTCCAAAACATACACACTGGAAATAAAGGGAAGTCTTTTTAAGATGTTCAACCTTCAAGGGAGTTGAGGACTTCAGTCCCCAGATCTCATGCCTGATCAGAGGGGCCCCACAGGGTGGCTCCAGGCTCAAGCCCGTTCCCGGCTTCTCTGTGATCCGAAGCATGCGCCATTGGGGATCCTTTGTGCCCCGTTTGTGACCTCCAGGTTTGTGCCATCCCCACCCGCCCTTTATCCTGAGCCAGACACCAAGTCGACTCCTCCTTCTTTATTTCAAGAAACTAAATTTTCACCAAAGTGAAACCTTTCCTTCCCCAATGTCGGTTCCCTAATTGGAGCCTCATCTGTCTTCTGAATTACGCCCGTCCTTCTTAACTGACATCATTGCCTCTATTCTTATCCTGATCCCCACCTCCGGCCCCGTCCCAGCCCATTCTTCATACCGCGGGCAGCCATACTAAACTGCAAGACTAACCATGACTCACCCGGCTTCTCTGCCTTGGCAAAATCCTCTGCACATTTTCAAGGCCTGGGTCAAGTGCCATCCTGAGGCTCCCAGACAGGATTAATCTGCTCTCTCCCTGCTGGTGTACAAGCCACTCAGCTCACTGACTGACTCTAGTTTCTTTGTACCCTGGCCACACAATGTACACCTCATATCTTTACCTCATGCATCCCCGGTACTCGGCACAAGGCCTGGCACATAATCAGTGTTAAATACACACTAAAGGAACGGCTAAGGGGATTAATAAAAAGTAGAAAGAAAAGGGGACCGGCATCTGTTAAGAACTTGCCCTGAACCAGACACTTCATCTATGTTATTACCTCTTTTAAACTTCTCAACGGCCCCGTGAAATTTGGTGGTGTTACTCCTGTTTTTATAAACAAGAAAATGAAGGCAAAGAGACACGTAATCATTTGCTCAAGGTCACACCGCCAATAAACGGCAGAGTTGGGATTGAACTCTAAGTCCGGAAACAAACCTGGTTGTTGAGCCTTAAACGGATGATTGCTGTAGTGAGGGCTAACGGCAAAGATAACCTCATGCCTGGACTCAGAACACGGTCCCAGCCGTTTACATGAGTGTTCCCCCGTCCCTCGCCGTGACTCGAGCCTCAGCACAAACACGCGAGGCTGGCAGAATCATCCTCCAGCTCTAGGGGATGAAGAAAATGAAGTTTGAGCATGAAAGTGCCTTGAGGAAGGTCGCCCTCTCGCAACACACAGCCGGCCCTGCTGCTCGCCCTAGGTCCAGCGGGGGCCGGCGGGGAGGACAGAATCCCCAGAGAAGAAGTGCTTTGAAATAATAAGCTGGCTGCTAACTCTGGCAAACCTCCTTTCCATTCCCCGCGTGGGTCTGCTTGGAGCCATAGCAGCTTCTAGGAGGTGGAAAGAAATCAGAGGCTGAAGCTCTCCACCATTTCTGGAAGATGGGGAATTCTTTGCATGAGAGCCATTGTTTGCCTTAGTAAAAAAAAAAAAAAAAAAATTAAAATTAAAAAAAAATGAAATAAAAGGAAGCAAAACCCATATATACATATATATTTCACAAAGCTCCGCGGGGACCAGAGCAGGACAGCAAACAAAGAGCTCTCTTGGGCCGCTGCCCTGTACCAGCCACCCCCAGGTGACCCCCTGTCGGCACTGCCCACTGGGCCTGCCTGGGGAATCTCCAACCTCGGCGAAGAAAAGGATAAAACAACACAAATTCTCCAGGAGCCTCATTATTCAAGCAGTTCCAGAAGCAGCAAGAGGACAGCGGTGACTTTGGGAGAAGCACAATCTTATCTCCAGGGTGAATAGGACCATTTGTTGTTTATGTCCAGGAAAGCAGGGCAGCGCAGAAAGCACAGGAGAACTCAGACGAGAAGGGCGCCAAAAGCCAGCCGCTGATCTAAAAATCCTCTGCAGAAACAATGGCTTCTCCCGGGATGAGCTGCAGCCCCTTCTGGAAACAAAAGCTCTCGCGGAGGAAATTGGTCTTTTGTGGTTCTGGCGAGAAGCAAGCCAGATAAAGCTAGCCTGGCCTGACCCTCTCCCTTCGAGCAGAGGAGACACAGAACTTGTCGGGAAGTGGGAGCCGCGGGGCGAGGCTTCCTCAACTTCCAACTGGCCTTCCAGTTCCCCAGGCGCTCCACGGAGACCTTCGCTCCCTGGGCCCAGGCCCTGCTGGTGACCCGCCGCCGAGTCCCCTGGCAGGGTCCCTCTGTCCCCTGTGGTCTGCCCCTCTCTTGTTCCAGCCAAAACCAAAAGCCACTGCTGGGCCTGGAGGCCTCTGAAGTTTTTCTGACAGTTTTGGAGCTTGGGCTAAAAATAAAGACCGCCCTGGGGCTTTGAAGCGAACCCAAGCCATGCCCTGACTTGAACTGCTTTGGCCTTCTCCACCTGCCAGCCAAAGCCCCCGGATTTCAGAAAGAGGACAGCCGGACACAATGCAGGGCCAGCCAGCAGCGCCCCCTCCTGCTAGATCACCGGGGTCCCTCTGACGTCTCGGTTCCCCTGCACCCGAGCCAGGGGAGCCATTTAAGCTGACTTTGCAGAGTTATTTTTTATGGTCGTTGGCAAATGTGTATGTGGGTGGGACTTGGGAGGGGTAATTTGGTTTCAAAACCGTCCTGGGGAATTGGTCTTGAGAATATGTTTGTATAGTCAAGGGAGTTGCTTGGATTTTAGATTACAGGTTTCATTGGGGTGGTCCGTGGGGAGAAGGGATGGAGATTGCTAGAGAGGGCGGAGGGCCCCAGAGCCTCTCCAAGCCACCCCTCTGCCCTTGCTGCTAGCAAAGGACCCATCAGAGGCTGGGAGGAGAGACCACAGCCAGGAGCAGACTAGAATTAATTCCACCCACAGTCTGGGGTGGGGTGGGGGTGCCGGAAAGCCAGGCTATTTCTAAGGCTCACTTTGGAAAGGGTTCGGGCAATCTCCAGCAGAAGGTGGTCTTTGATGACTAGGCCAGCTTTGAAGAAGGGAGAGAATCATTTCCAGAGTTGCTGCTGGAAGTCCCCCGATGTGCCCTGGTGATGTGGAGGAGAAGCCACGGTGGGGACCGCAGCTGGGCGTGTCTGGCTGGCGTACGCCCCGGCAACAAGACAGAGACCAGACTTGATCTACTAGTGGTAGTTAACAGTCACCAGCACGCACCTTCTCCTTCGGAATTAACCACGTGCTTCCGTGGAGCTCATGTTACATAGTTCTTGCAACAAGAATGTGAGATCAGTTATATCGGTACAAGCTGTCTCTTACTGAGCACCTGCCGTGTGCCAGGCCCAGGGTCCGTGCTTCGTACAACAGGGTTTTGCAGCGTAGAGGTCTTTAGAGCCCAAACTGAGGTCTCCATGAAGTGTTGAAATTCCAGAAACATTTTACATTTATGCATGACTGAGCTTTTTTCCGGAGTGAAAGGCCATGACTTTCATCCAGTTTTTAAGGCATTTAGGAGCTATAAAATGTTCAGAACTATAAAATGTTCTCCATCGGTCTGACACCAGGGTCATTCCCCAGGCTGGCAGATTTCATACCTGATCCCCAGTCTCACTTTGCACTTTGAAAATACCCTCATTGGAACTATTATAAAGTGCTATTGTATTTTTAAGGGGTTTTTTGGAACCCTCCCCACTCCCCATCCTTCACTAGACTTTAAACCCTCTGGGGGCAGGCATTGTGTCTTACCCACGATTTTATCTCTGGCCTATAAGTTCTAGTGCTTCCTAGGTGCTCCATACATTTTTTTTTTTTTGCACAAATGAATGAACTAATATAAAGCCTCCTTATAGTAAAAATTAATCCTGTTCAACTATGTGAATGTGTAGGAGAGAGAATGTGCGTGTGTGTGTGTGTGTGTGTGTGTGTGTGTGTGGCAGAAGGTGGGCCCTCTCTGCAATGCGGTGGGGGATCTGTGTATGGAGAGACTCAGGGCTGGTTTGCGGGAAAGCAGAGGCAGGCTGAGTGTTGGGCACAGAGCCAGAGGAAGCCATGTTCTCCTGTCCTGGTGGCACTCGGATTTGGCTCTGGACCGGCACATCTCCAGCATGCCTCTCCCTGCCAGCACCCCTGTGCCTTCCCTTTCCATGGCATCTATTAATGATAAAAGTCCCCGTGGTTTATAATTATCAGTTTGACAAGTTCAGGAGTTCTCTGTTAATTATTATAATTAGCTTTCACTCAGTGAGGCTTCGGGAGTTTAACGACAATATTAACAACAGGAGGACGACGATCAGGAATTGACTACAAAGAATTGACTGGAAAGACTTCCTTCTGCTGTCAGGGAAACTTATTAATGAAGGCAAAACCTGCACAGCAGCTCCCCTCTGTCTGCCTTAACTCAGCAATTGGGTCTAAATCTGCCTTGGGGAATTGGAAACAACCGTTGCGGCCAGTGTGCACAAAGCCGGAGTTTCAAACCAACCAGAGAAGAAGGAAGGAGCCACTAGCCTGACAGCTGTGGGCTCCTCCTTGACCAGAAATCGAGCAGCGGCAGCAGCCGGGGAGGAACGTGGGAGCCGAGCCTGCCAGCTATGGCCCCAGACCGGGCTTTTGGGGAGGGCAGACAAGCATGAGGAATCAGAGGTGGATGGAGGCAGGGGAGGGCGGACCGGTCCCTGGGGGCAGCCAGCCCTTCCTGAAACTGTGAAGCAGATGGTCATTTTTTTCTGCCCGTCCCCCACGTTACAGCTCTCGGCTTGGCCTCATCTGGGCTCTTGGCCTCCTCTCCATTCTCCAGCAGCACTCCAGACCTGCCGCATTACCCTTCCTGCGGGACAGCTCTGATGACCGCATCCTCTCCTCTAAAGCCTTCCGTGGCTCCCAGTGGCTCACTAAGTACAGTCTGGAGTCCTCATTCTGGCACTCCAGTCCACCCAGCCCAGGCCGCACCGGTCTTTCCAGCACTGTTTTCTACGCATCCTTGTTCTCGTTCTTGGCTCGGACAATAAACACCCACGGGGCCCTGCTCAGCACCAGACAGGGTTTCAGAAGCTGCACCTTCAGCAGCCAGCAAGACAGACACGTTCCTGCCCTCACGCAGTTTTAATTCTAGCAGGGAACTCCGAAAATAAGCTCACAAACTAATAAATAATACCATCCACAGAAATGAGGAATCCTCTAGCATCATCACAACCAAAACCAGTTTAAAGGCAGAGGGTAGGAAGCGGAAGGCCTGTCTAGGAGGTGACCTTGAGACGAGAACGGCATGATGAGGAGCTGGTCTCCCAGAGAACATTGCAGCCAGAGGAACAGCATGTGCAACATTCCCAGGCAGGAACTTCTTGATACATGTGAGTGCACAAGGGGGGCCAGAGGAAGGGACAAGTGAACGGGGCCAAGTGGCTATTGTCAGAGACGCTGGCAGACGCAGGTCCCCAGACCCTGCTGAGCCATGGAAGGAAGTCGGTCTCTGTTCTGGACGTGGTCAGAAACCCTCTGGAGGGTTCAAACGGGATTCTTCTCCTTTGGGTAAAATGGACTCGTGCTGAGCTGAGCATTCCAGTCTCTGGGGATCCCTGCCGGCCACAGCTTTCCCCAGAGGAACCAAGGCTCTTGATCTTGTGAGAATAAAGCCCCTTCAAGTTTATTTTTCTTTGACAAACCCTCAGCTCTTCCTTGGCTCTCGGATGCGAGCAGATGATCTTGGCTGGGCTCGCCTGGCTCCCCGGGACTCCAGATTTCAGATCGTCCCACGTGTCTTCATTCTGGGGCCAGCTGAAGATCAAGTGCTTCCCAGGGCAAGTCCTTCTTACGGCAGGTCGAAGCACACCTAGAGGCCAAGTCTGGGAAATGGAAGAGAGGCTCAGGGTCCATCGTTCGACCTACCATGCTCCCATTACATTTGCATTTTTGCAGACCTCTTGAAAACATTGTCTGAATTGATTCTTTTGGTGGAAATTCTAGGGACTTGTGGGGAGTACTCTGGGTCTCCGAAAAGGTACTTTATGCCTCTTAAAACCTTTCTTGGGTAGCCACAGATGCACAGAGCAGTATCTGCATGGCAGAAAACAGGAAGGAAGGAAGCCAACATTTATTCAACACCTGTTTTGGGCCAGACATGATAATTGTCCTTTGAGGGAGTTACAGCAACTTTAGGTTAAACAGGTGCTTTTCTAATCCCCTCCCTATCACCCTTCCATGAACATCAAAGGATAAAAAAGGAAGAAACCCCTGGAGACAAAGGAAGCAAAAAAGTCGGGTGGTAGAACAAAGAACAAGAGACATCAATAATCCTTTGGGCAATGGGAAGCAGACTCGAGTGTTAATGATGGAGCAGACTGAGAAGAGCTGGAATCCGAGGGTGTGTGGAGGGCTCCTCATGATGGGGTAAGGGCAGTCTTGGAAGTCTTCAGGAGCTGGGAGGACCACGGTCTTCAGTGGCGTGGATGAGGAGCGAGGCTGCAAGCAGGGAGAGTGGGTGGAAGTCTGTTAAGGAGCACCTGGGCCCCCAGATCTTCTCCATCCTGTGTAGCCAATGGCTACATATCCCCCACCCTGGCAAGACGGTTTGCTCCCTGGAGAGATTCAGTGAGGAAGGATCTAGAGGTAGGGACATGAGGCTCAGGTGAGGGTTAAGGGAAGCAGATGCAGCAGGGAGAAAAGTTACCAAGTGAAAGTACCTTCTGGGGGAACTTCTCCACCCCTTCCCTCCACTAGGCCTGCCAGTGTCCTCCAGGCGGGAGGTGGGAGGGAGGGCGCCCTCTGGAGAGGACCACCTCCGGAGAAAAGACCCATGGATGCTGACATTTGGGAATCCCCAAACCCATGGCTGGGCCTTGTCCTACAGACCAGTGGATCCTAATGCCTGATGAGCCCTTATGCAGAGAATCCCCAGTCAGGTTTTTGTGCCTCGTTCTAAAGGATCACCAAGGATCACCAGACATTTGGACAAATCACAAAGGCAGTGCCTAAGCCATCAGGGAAGAAAATTCTAAGGAAAAGAAAGCAACAATAGGGAACAGAAGAAAACAAGAGAAAAGAAATCCCTGTAAAAATCTGCAGTAAGAGAAGAAATGCCAACAAAAAAAAAAAAAAAAAAAAGAGAGAGAGAGAGAGAAGAAATGCCCCCAAGAAACACAAACAGAATGATCTTTTTTTTTTTTCTTTTGATAGGAACAATAAAATAACAAGAAAGAGCTCTTGGGAGTTACAGCAATTGAGACCAGAACTAACTACCCAACTTAGTCCATCAATCAAGGAAAGATTTGTGAAGGGCTTGTGTCTCTCTCAGGAAGTGAAAGCAAAAGACAAAGGGAGCCATGCATGAGAAAGAAAGAGCATATTCAAAGTGACTGTGTTTTCCTGAGTCATTAGAAGAACTGTATAAGGAAGGTCTAATTTCCCCTATTTTACCAAAAACAAACTAAGACTCTGGGGAGCTTACGTAGCCTTCCCAAGCACAGTGAAATGGCAGAACTAGGATTGGACCCAAGTCTTCTTAGTCCGAAGCCACATGGTTTCCACCCAGCCATGCTCTGAGGACAGCAGACCCAGCAGAGCTTGCCTGGAAGATGTGCGGTACATGGGGGCGGGGGGCGCAGCTCTCCGGGTCCGGGAGTCATCGTATTTTCACCTTCACACGTGATAACCACACGCACATGCTTTCCATCTTCCAAAGCTTTTTGGGATGACACAAGAGAGAGATGTCCCATAGACTGTATGGGGCATCGAACCCGGGTTCTTTTCTCTCTAATCTGCAGTGGGCCTGAAATCCCAGTCATTCTTTGTCCTGAGATCTTATTTGATAAAGTTGTGAACGTTCAAAACACAAAGTGGTCCCTAGCGGGGCATTTCCATCAAGCAGTGGGGGGGATGGAGGAGACGGTTGGACGTCAGACATTGCCTGCCCGGCCAGGACAGGCCATGCCAGACACGGCAGGTCAAGGGAACATGTGGTGTCAGAGGGAACCTGGCCAACAACGCCCAGGATGGGACGGGCTTCTGCTGAAAGGGCCTCAGCTCAGCTCAGCTGCTAAGCATGGGCAGAGGAAGGAGACACGACCCCCCTGCAGACCTGTTTCCCAGTGGAGAAGGGAAGGGGAACAGAGAGGGGCAGGGCCTCATGTGGACCCAACTCGGCCTGCCAGTGAGCCCGCCACAGCTCCAACTGTCTCACGGGCCTTCCCGGCTGCCGTGGGATCAAAATGCAACACTGTCCTGAAAAGGAATCACGAGCCCTTCCTACTGTAGGTGTTGTTCCAGGAAAGACCAATATGGCGACTACTCAAGGCTCCAGGCCTTCTCCTCCCTAGACCCGCCCACTGCTCCACCTCCCCCGCAGGCCCTTCTTGGCTCGGCTCCACGGAGACGCTCAGGAGAAGCCCCCATGGCCACAGGCCTGACCTTCTCTGTTCTGTCCCCTCCCCTGCCTCTTAGTGCCTGGTACCTTTGGCAACAGGCAGCAACCCACCCAGCCACAACCAAAAAGAAAGAGGGAGAAGAAATATAGAGATTAAAAAAAATCCCCCAAACAAAAACCATATCCTGCACCTTTTGCTCAGAAACGGCATAGCCTGGGAG